CATTCCCAATTCCCAAATGCTGCAACTTTCCCAACTGCCAGTCCCTGCAAAATTCCCAATTCCCAGTCCCTGCAGCATTCCCAACTCCCAGTCTGTGCAGCATTCCCAGCTCCAGCCCCCACAGCCCCAACACCTTCGTGCTGCCCTGTCCAGCCCAGCACCCCAAATTTTCCTCCGTGGCGGCGGTGCAAGCTCAGCCAGGGTTTTCCCCGCCGCCGTGCCTTGGGAAAAGGAAAGGTGAAAAGGAAAAGCAAACAAGGCTGTTCCATGGGGATCCCCTGGAGGAACCTGGGTGTCTGAGCAGAGCTGGTTGAAATTGAAACCACATTTGATTTCTGGTGGATTTTGCGGCACCGGCCTCGCGCGGGGGCCGCCGCGCTCATCATCCCCCACAGCCAGCCTCGCTCGCCCCAATCAGCACTAATTAGGTGAGCGGGGTTCCCAGCTACAGGCAAATTCGGGAGGCCTGAAACACAACTGAAGGCAATGTTTGTTGGCAGGAGAAGCACCTGGAAGAGGTTGAATATCCCACCAGTGCTGCCGAGTGCCCAAGCAGGAGCACGGCATCTTTCTGAAGGTTGGAAGCAACGCTGTTGTAAATGTAGGTGAACTTGGTGGGAAGAAATGATGATGTTTGACTTTAGTTTAGAAGGTTGAATGATTTTTTTATTATAAATGTACTATAATACATCAATATACTATTTAAAGGAGATACTAAAACTACATACCTACTTTTTCGAACTACTATTATCTAACTAACTTATGACTTTCTCTCAAGAGTCTAGACACAGGTGGATTTGATTGGCTATTAGGTTCAAACAATTATCACCAGAATCCAATCAAGCAACCACCCCAGGTAAACAATTCTCCAAACAGATTTTACATGGGAAAAAATAAGGAGCAGAAATAGAAATTATTTTCTCTTTCTTCGCCCTGCGCTCCTCTATGAAAAAATCCTGAGACAGAGAATGTGCCTGCCACACAACGCTGTTGCCAAGACCCTTTAATAAGCACCTGGGTGTTGTATCATGTATTAAATATTAAAATGAATCAACACAGAAGGCCTGAAGCAAAACCAAACCCTCACCTGTGCACAGCAACCACTCCCCAACCCACTGTGGTCAGCCAGAGTTGTGCGGCTACAGCTCAAGGCCCTGGGTTTCAACCATCCCCTCTCAAAGCTGGTTGTAGCTCCAGCTAAAATGAAAACATGTGTTTATTGTTTTTTCTTTGAGCAGATGATTAATATTTATGTGATGTATTATCAAACAAAAATAACTATGTATTTTGTTCCTGGAATAATGTTTTTTTTTTTTCTTGTTGGAATGAAGCTGTGCCAAGGAGGGATTGCAGCTGATGCAAGCAGCATGCAAGGACAATCCACTTACCATGGCAGCTTTCTAAATGAAAAAGGAGCATTTCTGAGCAGGGGGAAGTTGGGGACAATAATTGCTGTGGTGGAATCTCACACTCCACACAAGGAAAAGTGCCACCCAAGGCAGCAGGAGATCCTCCTGCCACAGCAGTGCGGGAAAAGCAGGCGTCTTGCAAATCCATTCATGCTTACTTTAGATCAAGTCTCATTTTTGCTCTCAAACAACTCAAAAATGCCTCGCTGCACACATTTCACTTTTGATAAATCACCGATTAACAAGGATGTGTACTGTGTCCACAGCAGAATAAACTCTTTGGGATTCATTGTGAAATTGCTGTTTCTTGAATGCAATTAACCCCTCCAGATTATGCACAGACCACTGAATATAAATAGAAGAGGTTAAAATGCAGTTTAAATATAACAGATATGGCCGCAACTCCATATTTAGATATACCCTTTAATTTTTTTCCTATTGCCTGCTTTTTACTTACATTTAAATTTAGCGAAGTAATTTTAGACTGTCAGTTTTCTACCTACACTAGTTAACTACACTGTGAAGGAAATATATTAGATTAGATATCACTGTCTTCCAAAATGGCAAATCAATACAAATTTTTTGGACTCAAACCTTCAGCCAAAAAGACAAAATGCTTGATTTTCCTGGGATACTTGAGTGTCAAAAAGGGCATGGCCACAACCACCCTGGGAAGTAAAAAAATATTCCAGTGGCTGTGAGAGCAGCAGTTGTGGGTATAATGAAAACCAGTGTGGTGTTATCGCACAAAAGGTAATTCTTCCAACCCAAGACAAACAACATTATAATTCAGGCTGAAAATATATTCACCCCGTGTGAACTTTTTTTTTTTTTTTTTTAAACAGAACCATTTTAAAATCAACTGTATAGGAAAAGTGCCATACAAAGCATACACTAATCCCTGGCATCCCTTCCCAGCTGCACAGAAAACCAGCGGGCAGCTTTAGGCACTCAGGGCTAAGCCTGCCCCGCTGACCTCAGATGATATGGATCAGGCCCAAAGGGCCCTTTCCAACCTTACCCCCTGTCAACAACTTCCACCTCGAGTTCGGGACACAGATTTCCACAGAGCTGCTCACATGATTCAAAGAAGTACAGTTTTGCCCTTACAGCTGCCTTTTCCTGAAAAAAAAAAATATAACTATTCACTTAAAAGAAAATGGCAAGCTTCCTGATAGTGGAACAAAACCCCAACGCAATGGATGTTCAAGGGAAAGGCTTTGTTTTGACCCAACCATTTTGAATTATTTTGTTGTTACCTGCTCGTACTCCTGAAGCATTTGGTAAAGCAGAGGCGAGGAAATGAAATGTAATATGCAATGTTTTGGGGCTTCCAGATGCCCTCAGCACCACAAAAGCTTCTGCCGTGTTTTTTGATCCTCACGGGAGGAGGAACCGCTGTGTTCAGGGATCACAGCGAAGCCATCAAAATTAAACACTCTGCAGAGGCAGAGGATGCCATGAGCCTCACGCTGTGACAGCACAGCACTGGGGGTCTGGAGAGAGAGCAGTGGGAAAGGATTTGCCTCATCAGCAGCCAGGTATTCTGTTCACGGGGTGTTGTTCAAACCAACGGGACTGCCACCGTCGCCCCAGTGTTTTCTGTTTGTTTACACAGCTCCGTGCATGCACAGAAAATAAACTTCCCACAGCGGAGCAGGTAGCAAAGACACTTTCCCAGGGCAGGATCTTGTGCACAATTGTCATTTGAACACCGACAACAGCGGGATCCAAACTGGTGAAAAGGAGACGGAAAAGGACAAACAAAGCAGCATCCTTGTGATAAGCGACACAGCTCCCGAGTCTGCAGCAATCTGGGATTTAAGCTCGTGGTTGCCACCATTGTGAGTCCTCACTGGATTCACACACCCAGATTTCTTCAGTGCCTTACAAAGAGCTCAAAATCATTTAAAAGAAAGAGAGAGAGAACCCCACAGGCAGTACTGCTTCAAAACCATCAGAAGGAGAACATGCATAATATATACATGTCTATTAGAATCCATCTCTAAGAACAAAATGCTACAGAAATGACAATCCAAAGGGAGCAACACCTCAGGAGCAAAAAGTCCGACTAATCACACCTAGGACTTACCCTGACAGATCATTTATAAAATTCCTGTAACATGTAACTCTATCCAGTACTCTATGATTTGTTTAACTTTGGGACTAAATTGTGGGAGGTGGGGACAGATGCTGTTCAAAGCTCTAAACCCTGAAATGTTTTTGGAGTGAGTAGATTTTTTTCAAACTTTTTTTTTTTTGCAAACTTTTTCAAAGAATTTGCCATTGTTTGCCCACATATGCATACAAAAGAGAAAATAAGGACTGATGTTGCTATTCCAATGTACCATATCTTTGTTTTTATAAATGCCCTTTAAGAAATAGATCAGGCAATCAACATAGAAATATATTTGTCCTGTATGAGGTATGGCTTGGTCCATTTGTGCCTTTACTTATTTACTTCTAGTTGGGAAACTATCAAATAATCTATTTCTCTTCTTTGATTTTCCTATCAGTTCAGGTGTGCCTGAGATCACACACCTGATATATGTGTCCTGACAAAAGTTTACATTTCATACCCCAGTGAGAAACTGTCTTTGCCTGCTTCACTTGCTTCAGTGAAACCAGGGAAGTGCTCAAAGGGTTAAACCAAAGGAATGTGACATTTCTCCATGTGCAGTTCATAGACCTATCCTGGTTTTCCTAATGGACTCAAAATTACATGGGCAGAACGGGGCAGAATGTAATTTCCAAACCCTTACTTCAGAGTTAATTCACAGGACGACACTTAGAACACAAATAAAAAACTTCATTAAAGAACGAGCCATTTCCCTCGCACTGTGGGCTCTCGGCAAAGGCAGCAATGAATGGAAGTTTATGTTAGCCAGAACTTGCAACTCCAGCTTTTGTAAATACAATTACGTGCACTCCAAACTCCTCAGCGAAGTCATCTGGACACCAAAACAGAGCCCCGCGTATCCCTTACTCTGAAAAGTACCAAACCCAGCCATGCCTCCCTTCAGCCACGTAGGTAATTGAAGGTTTTCCTACGTGCAAGAGCTGCTTTCGAAAAGCCATAGAGCTATTACTTAATTGAAGGATGAATTGCTGAAAGAATTACAAAGGCACCAACGCTGCTATTACGATGCAGAGAGGGGGAAAATGATGGCGAGGGGGAACGCAGTATCACTTCTGCCCGAAAACCCAGCGGCCAAACCGCGGTAACCCTTCCAACCTTGGAGGAACTCGGGCACGGTTCGCGCAGAGGATGCGCGGCTGCGGCTGCCGAGCCCTCGGGGCTGCCCCGCTCCAGCCAGGGGACACCCTCCGGTCCCTGTGCCGCCCTCGGGGTCCCCGAGCCCCGCTGGGTCCCTGTCCCCGGCGGTTCCTCGCCCATCTCCCCGCCGCTGCCGCCCCGACGGCCGGCGCTCCGCTCGCCGCCCCCGCCCCACCGCTGCCCCGAAGGGAAAGCACTTACCGGGCTGGGGCCGGGGTCAGTCCGGGCTCCCGGGGAGGGGGACGGGGCGGGACGGGACGGGACGGGGGAAGGCAGCGGCCGCCAGCGGCGGGAGCTCGGCGGGGAGTGAGGCAGCGGGCAGGGGACGGCGGCGGTGCCGGCTGCGGTGAGTCACTTCAGTCGGGACGGGCTCAGCCCATCGCGCTGGCCCCCGGCTCCGGGCGCCTCTTCCTCTCTCCAATGGCCGAGCGCGGCCGCCGCCGCTGCCGGCGCTGCCCGGCTCCGCCGCCGCCGTCGGGCCGGCCCCGCGCCCGGGGCGCCGCGGGACCCCCGCCCCCGGTGCCCGCGGCCGCGCCCGGGGGGGCGGCAGGGGCCGGGCGGAGCTGGAGGTGGGGGAGGACGCGGGGCCCGGCTCGGCACGGCCCGGCCCGGCGGGGCGGCCGCGTCCCCCGGCGCGTCCGAAGGGGAGAGAACAAACGCGCGGTTGTGGCGCGGACCCGACGGGAATCCCAGGCTGGCCCCTAAACCAGGTGGCAGCGCGGGCGGGGAGGGCAGCGGGAGGAATAACGGGATGCTCGGGAATAAAAAGGGAGCGGGGGTGGGGAGGGAAGCGGAGGAGGCTGGTCCGGCCGAAGCTGCGGCCCCGTCTCCCAGGGGTGATGGAGTGATGGAGAGGGGACCCATCCCGCCGGTGCCGTCCGCGCTCACCTCGCACGGAAGGTGAAGCGGGCGGGGCGCCCATCCTGTCGCTGTCGCTTGTCCCTGTCCCGTCCCGTCCCTCCCGCCGGGGCTCCTTACCGGGGCTCCGCTTGTCCCCGCTGCCGCCTCGCCCCGACCTTCCCCGGGCACGACTCAGCCCCCGCCGCGCCGCCGGGCATCGCTCGCCGCTCTCCGCCAGCGGTCAGCGCCCGGCACCGGCGTCCGCAGCAGAAAACCCAGTAGTCCCTTAATTAAAAATAATAATTAAAAAAAAATTATAAAAAAAATAATTAAAAGCGTCTCAGTTTTTAAAGCAGAACTACATAATGTATTAATTGGTTGCTATTAGCATGCAGTTTTATTGAGCATAGCACACAGAAGTCTGATTGTAAGCGAGGAGTGTTTTCAATGAAAGTGGAGTTATTTTAGCTGCAGACATGTTTACATTTCTGTGGTTTAGTCTATAACTTTCTCTTTTTCTTGCTTCAGAATTCTGCTCCATGAAGCAAAGCCCTTAGCTCCCAGACATTCCAAAAAGTCTGCCAAAAAAAAAGGGGGGGGGGGGGAAGGGAAAAGAAAAAAAAAAATCACACACAGAGACCCCCAAGTCTGGGTCAGGCTCAGGGCTGAGTATGGGCAGAGCGAGTATACCCCCTCCTCACTCTCCCTCTCCAGTTAAAAAGCCTTCAGGGCTCCATTTCCTGTTTTTAAGGAAAAAATAAAGCGGGTCTAGGACTGATTTTAGACACTGCCTAGACCAGGGCTGGTGGGTGCCGAGGACCTTTAACTCTTTCGGTGCCAAAGAGTACCTGATAGCTCACATCCAGGCAACCACACACCTCCCTCGCTTGGGGCAGCCCCAGCTGAAAGATGGGATTTTCACCCCAATGTGTGGTTTTTTTGGGTGACTAAGAACCCAAAAGTTCCCAAGCGACCACCTAGTGTTTGAATGAGCAGAGTGAAGAGACAAAATACCCCAAAAGTGGCACTGAGTGCCCTCTGCTACTGCAGCACCCAGCTATGGAGATCTGGTGAGCCCGTGGGGTCCCTTCTCAGCGTTGGGGACAGTGTTGTCACCCACCCCACCTTCCCCACAGCCTCTCCTGCTGTGGATGGGCAGCATCACTGGTGTGGCCTTCAGCGAGTGGGCGTGAAAACAACCCGAGCTTCTGGACGTTAAATCCGCAGCTTTGGAAAATCAAAACGCAGCAGCTCGGCTAAAATTAGGAACGCTCAGCAGTGAATGAAGCACGAAAGCCGTGGACGCCTCCCCACAAAAGTCCCGAGTCAAGTTTTCCACTCCAAGGCTTGGTAGGGTGTGATAGGAATAGAAAGAGGAGTGTTCAGAGTGAAGTACCCCTGTAATGAAGGGTTGTGTCTCCAGGGAAGGGACAGGAGAGGTGGCAGGACAGGGGATGCTGATGCAGTGCCAAAAACCAGACAGGGCGCCCTGTGCCAGGGAAAACCCTTGGATCTGCAGGCACCAGGTGAGGCAGGAAAATTCACAACGGTGTTTCTTGGCCCCCTGGCTCTTAACATTTGCCTCCCAACCTAATCTAAAGCATTTTTATGTGTGTGTCCCCTCCCCAGACTTTTTATTTTTACATGCCAGATGACTCCTGTATATTTGGACCTCTCGCTTTTGAAGAAGCCAGAAAGCATTGTGATTTCCCAATGCTTAAAAAAGAAAAGAAAACACCTTTCCCCCAAGATGTTTTATATTAATTTAAGTATCGGTTCCTGGTTCATGTCAGCCCCTTTCACAATGAAATGTCCTGCGTGGGCTGTCACACCTGCTAAATATAATCCTCTCATTCTTTTGATATTCTGCAAAGGGCCTTTAAAGGTTCACATCCTCCAGTCTGGAGTTTTAATTGCTTCATCTCAGATATTTAAGAAGCCTTATAAATTTCTGATTTTTGTGGATTTCAAAGGAGCAGGGGGAGGGATGGGATAGGGATGTGAGGGCGATGCTGAGAGCACTGCCCTGACACTGCAGGTCCTGTAAAAGCTCTGACCCTCCAGCTTGTCCCACAGCTTCTGCTCTTTGGGGCAGACAACTTGAGCTGGTTTTATGAGTTACCAATGAGTTAAATATGAAAATAGTAGCCTATTTCACTATGGTAAATGCTCACCAGGGAGGAAATCATAGATTCAGTTTTATAGAAGGTAATGGAGTGAGATTACCCACACTAATGTACTTAACTCTTCAGAGAACATAAATCCTGCAGGAGACAGCCCCAAACCAGTTGATCCCCGAAACAAACTGCAGCCAGCAGCGGCTTCATCCTTACGAGGTGCTGGTGGCACCAGGTTTGCCCAGTGGAGCTGTGGTTAGAAACTCCTGGTCAAGAGGAGTGTGGTGGTTACAGACTCCAGCAAGGATGTTCCTGGAGCCAGAAAATGCCTGGCAGGATGGGAACAGGAGGGCAGGAGGGCTGGGGGGGGGGAAATCCTGCACCCCAAATCTTTGTACACTGCACAGAGCAGCTCTCAGTAACACAATGGCCACAAATTCTCTGAAGTGTGATGTATAATTCCTGTTAAATGAGATACAACAGCAGAGAGAGGGACACTGAGTGTGCTGACAGCTTCATGCTATACCCAGATGTAGCTGCAGGAGCAGTACCCATGGCAGGGCCCCAAAATGCTGTGTTTGCATGGAGGAGCTGCAGCAAAGCCAGTGGAGGTCATGTCCAGCTCTTGGTGAATTCCCATGGCTCCATGTTCTGCATCACCTTCAGAGTTCAGGCACTCCCAGGGACCAGCACAGGGGACAGCTGAGCTGCTGGGCTCCCATGTGGAAAGCTGCTCCACATTGTCACCCCATGCCCAAAAACCCCAATCTTCTCACCTTTCAAGCCCTACTTGTGTGACTAAAATATTCAGCCAGTGCTCCTGCTGAATGCAAGCAGTGGGAACACGAAGCAGGAAAGGAAGGAAGGGTGGCTGTGCCCAGCTGGGGCTGGGCTCTTTCTCCAGGAGCTGACAGAGCCAGAGCTCACAGCCTCGAGCTGCACCCAGGGAAATACAGGTTGGATATCAGGGAAAAGTTTTTACAGAAATGGTGACAAAGTTCTGGAGTGGCTGCCCGGGGAGGTGGTGGAGTCACCACCCCTGGGTGTGTTTAACAAAGCCTGGATGTGGCACTGGGTGCCAGGGCTGAGTTGAGGTGCTGGGGCTGGGTTGGACTCGATGGTCTTGGAGGTTTCTTCCAGCTCAGAGATTCTGGGAATTCTGTGAGGCTGGAGCAGCCCTTGCTGTGCCACCTTCCTGCCACCAGCCCCAGCTCCCATGGCCCTGCAGCTCTTTGCTCACAGCCAGTTGTCCCCAGAGCTGACCCCGGTGTCCTGTGCAGGGACAAGATCCACCCTAAAGGCTCATTCCTGGAGCTTTCTTTCAGGAGGAAGGAGGACATTTCAGAGCAGGTGGGTCTTCAAGTGCTACCTCTTGCTCAGGAGTGTCGTGGGGGAAGAAAAAAAGTGGTCACATCATTTTCTATCTCTTTAAACACAGTTTTCAAAATGCATGTTCGAAACAAGCGATAAAAATCAAACAAATTGTCACATCTGGATCAAGAAAAAATCCCATAACCAGTGCTTTCCCCATATTTCTTCCAGAGCAGTGGAAGAAACATATTTAGCAAGTGGCACAGCCTCAGCTAATTTTGAGTCTTGATGGTTAGAACTAGGGACTGAAGCACTTAGAGGATGCAGAACCAGCTACGGTTGTAGGCTGCTGCTGTATTCACCACTCAACCACGTCCCCAAATGCCACATCCATATGTTTTTTGCAGATTTCCATGGCCAGCAATTCCACCACTTGCCTGCACAGCCTGTTCCAGTGCTTGGCCACCCTTTCAATGAAGAAATTTTCCCTAATATCACCCTAAGCCTCCCGTGGTACAACCTGAAGCTGTTCTCTCTTGTCCTGTCACTTGTCACCTGGGAGAAAAGACCAAGCCCCACCTGGCTATGACCTTTCAGGTGGTTGTAGAGAGCAATATGGTCTTCCCTGAACCTCCTTTTCCCCAGGTTAAACAGCCAATTAACTTTAAAAAAAACTGAAAATATAAGGGTAATAATTCCATCTTCAGAGCATTAATCATCGTTGTTGCTATTAGTGAAATGGGATATATGAATGATATTTGTTTCTTTTGATATGAAACCACAGGACTAGAGCACAGATTATTTTGGTTTTTTCCCCACTGGTAAAATGCAATTCCTGATTTTCTCCTGAGAATCAGAAAGGATTAACATTTTACCTATGAAAATACCATTTAGGATGAACAAGTCAGGCAACAAAAAGGGGGCACCTTTATAAATATTACGTCTCACAGGTGTGGGTGACATTCACTAATGAAGGTTCCCTTATGTAAAAATGACATTTAATTCAGAAGAGATAGGCAGTTATATAGACACCTCCTGTTGCCTGGATATGAACAGGAAACTCTTTTTCAAGGAGCAG